TGCCCTTTTATTATATAGGATTAGAGGCCAGGGCATGAAATTTTGGCACAGATAGGGTCCCTTAGACTTGGCTGGCAATCAGGCCCGATTGGGCCCAGGCTTGATCAGGGCTGGGCTGTAGAGAAGCAACGCTCACCAGGTCTGTGCACAGAAGAAACAGGCGCTAGACCACCGATGCCGCCATTGGCGCCCCACCAACTTTGTGTTTCCCCACCTTCCCCCCCACCCCCCGTCTCTTCGCGCCACCACTGTGGCAGGCGGGATGATTGGGGCCTGCCGGCCGGGGGAAGGGATGGGGCACGGGAGGTTGGCCGCTGGCCCTTAGGAGGGAGCTGGCTCTCAGCCCTTCCTGGGAAAGGGGCCATGAGGAGGGACCATGGGAGGTTGGCTGGCCCAGGAGGGGGGAGGAGGAGGGCGGGAGGTTGGCCATCCGGGGGAGGTTGGCTGTGGGAGCTCACTGACCACCAGGGAGCAGCTCCTGCGTTGAGCGTCTGCCCCCTGGTGGTCAGTGCATGTCATAGCCACCAGTCCTTCTGGTCGCTTAGGCTTTTATATATATAGATGCTTCTGCAGAGGAGTGGTAAGCCAGCCTTTCTGTCCATCCTATTGTGGACTGGGAAATACTCAGCTTTTATGGGCTTTGAAGAATCAACAAGATGGGGTCCCTTCCCCAGAGCAGCTCTCTGCTTGGGGTGGAGAGAGAAGACTGCACAGGCCCCTGGATGCCCTCTGCTCTTCCATGGCGCCAGGAGGATTGCACTAAGGCTCCTAGCATGTTGGAGGCACTAGTAATTGTTGAAATACTTTAGGGGGAGAGTTAATGTTGTCTGAAGAGATAAGGGGAAGTTTCATGGATAAGGATTTGGAAATTCAGCAGTCAGGGGGGTAATTGTTGAAATACCTTTAGAAGGAGAGGTTACTGTTGTCTTAAGAGGTTAGGGGAAGTGTCATGGAGAAGGATTTGGAAATCCAGCAGTCAGGGACGTGTGTGAAACCGTGGGCAAGTCGGAATAGGAAATGGGTGGTAGGTGGACAAAAGACAGTAGAGGAGCCCAGTTGGCTGGAGGGAAGAATCCTTGAAGGGGAGGGAAGAAGAGTGGTTGGAAAAGATGGATTAGGGCAGTGGTTCTCAACCTTCTGGCCCTTTAAAACAGTTCCTCATGTGGTGACCCCCAACCATAAAATTATTTTCGTTGCTACTTCATAACTGTAATTTTGCTACTGTTATGAATCGTAATGTAAATATCTGATATACAGGATGGTCTTAGGCGACCCCTGTGAAAGGGTCGTTTGACTGCCAAAGGGGTCGAGACCCACAGGTTGAGAACCGCTGGATGAGGGCTAAATTCTGGAGGGCCTCGACTGCCAGGCTCCGAATATAGGCTTATTCAGCTGGCAGTGCAGAGCCATTGGAGGCTTTTAAAGCAGAGGAGTGACATGAACATAGCTGGGCTTCAGAGGCGCTGACCTGCTGTGCGTAGGCGGATAAGAGATTTGGGGGCAGTGTGGGTCCCAGCAGCAGTGCCAGGAGCTGGGGAGGGCACCGCATGGGGCAGGTAAGACGATGCCGTGGAGAGACTAGGGCGGTCCAGGGTGGAGTTAGCAGGTGGAGGAGGTTCCTGGGGTCCTGGAGGAGTTGGAGGCGAAATGCGAAGTGTCTGTGTCAGTTACTGGGAGGACAGTGGTGCTGGAGATGGACATGGGAGGAAGGCAGGTGTGGGCCTGGCCAGGCTGGACGGCAGAGGAAGCCAGGGAGTCTGGGGATGGCTGGGTGTGAGCTGGCTCAGCTGTAGGATTTATGGGGACTTTGTCCAGTGCTGTTAGACTGCACAAGCTGCAGCTGAGGGTCTGGATTTCTGTGGTGGCCTTTTTTCCTGTCCAGGAGAGAGCGGGGGAGGGGAGGGAACACATAACATTAAATTTACCACTTTTAAGTGTACAGTTCAGTAGTGTTGAGTGTATTCCCATGTGTAACAAATCTCTAGAACTTTCTCATCTTGCAAAACAATCTCTATACCTTTTAAACACTAATTCCTCATGCGTGGCATCATAGTATTTGCCCTTTTGTGACTGGCTTATTTCACTTAGCGTAATGTCCTTGAGGCTTATCTATGCTGCAGCATATGTCCAAACTTCCTTTTGTTTCAAGCTGAATAATATTCCACTGTATAGCACTATATATGTAGTTTTTGTTTGCTTGTTTTCTTCAAGTAAAATCGATTTCTCTCATTTTGGAAGCAGTTTTAAATACTTACCACCAACTTTCTCAAGCTCTGCACACTTCTTGTTTGTTCATGCTAAAATGGGTCCGTGTGCATTCCAGTGGGGGGTGTTCATCTCCCTGCCCCCGGTGGCCCCACTCAAGGGCCACGGCAGCACTGAGCAGGAGGGTGCGGAGCCAGCATGTTCCATTCGGAAGTTATCGACTCTAGACTCTAAATGTCTTAGCAAACACTCCTCTGGCTTAAAAGTGGAATTACCACTCAGAATTTATAGGTCCACAAATGGAGTGCTTCCTCTCCCTCTCTCTCTCTTTCTGTAAAATAAAAAAATAAAGAAGTAGTGCAAAAGTCAATTAAAAAAAAAAAAGAATTCACAGAAAAGGGGATTGGGGTTCAAAGGAGCCCTGGCTCCACCCACTGAATCGTTTACTTTATATATAAATATTAAATTTAAAAATCAACTTGAACCCAGCCTGTGTGGCTCAGTGGTTGAACATCGGCCCATGAACCAAGAGGTCACCAATTGGATTCCTGGTCAGGGCACATGCCTTGGTTGCGGGCTCAATCTCCAGTGGGGGATGTGCAGGAGGCAGCCGATGATGATTCTCTCTCATCATTGATGTTTCTCTCTCACTCTCCCTCTCCCTTCCTCTCTCTGAAATCAATAAAAACATATTTAAAAAAAAAAAAAAGAATGGAAAGGCCTTACTGCATTATTTAAAAAAAAAATCAATTTGAGGAATACTTTATGTACAACCCACTACAGTGACTCAGAGAATAATTCGATGAGTTTCTACCAAAGTATTACGAGCATCTTTCAGCACCTTCACCTTATAGGACATTTTCATTACTCCCAAGCGTTCCATGCTCCCCTTGGCTGCCCATCCTGCCTCCCTCCACCCCTGACCTCAGACAACCACTGACTGCCTTTTTGTTCCTGTGGTTTAGTTTATAGTTTCTAGAATTTCATATGCATGGAGCCATACAGTGCTTACTCTTATGGCTGGCTTTATTTTTTTTCCTTTTTTAAATCCTAAGTTGAAGCTACACTTACTGATTTTAGAGAGAGAGGAAAGGAGAGGGAGAGAAACAGAAACATTGATATGAGAGAGAGAGAGAGAGAGAGAGAGAGAGAGAGAAAAACATTCATTGATTGCCTTCCATACTCACCCTGACAGGGGATCGAACCTGAAACCCAGGTATGTGGCCTGACTGGGAATCCAAACCCACAACCTTTTGGTGTACCGGAGGATGCTGCAAACCACTGGGCAACCCAGCCAGGGCTATGTCTTGCTTCGTTGTCATGATGATATTGAGATTCTGTGTTGTGTGAATCAGTAGTTCATTTTCAGGAGAATATTTGTGACAGACACTGTTTTGCCTTCTGACTGCTCTGTGTTCTGCCCATGTCTCCCCATCTTCAGAGCTGTGTCACTATCATCTCTGGCCTGAGTGCCTGGAATGGCCTCCTTTTGTCCTTCCTGTCCTCTCGCAGTCCCTTTCCCTGCAGCGCCCAAGTGACCCTCACAACAAGCATGTTGGACTGGGTCCACCCAGTGCTCAAATGCGACGGGCTTTGCGTAACATAACGCAGAGCCCCGAATCAATCCCGTGTGGTCTGGGCCCGGCCGTCCCCTCCAAAACCAGCTTGCATCTCTCTCTCCTGTGTTCCCTGCATTCCAGCTACACTAGACTTCTTGGAATGGGCCTGTCCCCTTTCCTCCCTGAATAGGCAGTTGCCACACACCTCTCCATGCCCCCAGCATCGTGGCTTTACTTTTGTCTGTGGGAGACTTGGATTGGCATCTGTCTCCCTCTGGACCGTAAGTCCCTCAAGGTGAGTTGTAGCACCTGGCTCAGAGCAGGTCTTGCTGAATGGCTGAATGAGGCTGTTCCTGCACCCATGTGAGCTGAGCTCTCTCTCTCTGGTGTTGGCAGGATGAGCAGTTGAGGACCCTGGTGAGGCAGTTTGGACAGCAAGACTGGAAGTTCCTGGGCCAGCCACTTTCCTGTGAGTGCAGCCCTTCTGTGGCCTCCTGCCCCAGG